CACCTTGAGGTTGTCGTGTCCAGCAGAGAGCAGTTTCAAACTGCCTCCGAGAAGTTCTTTGTCGTCTTTTCTAGTGGTGGAGAAATAGTCGCTGGACCATTCGCCCCAAGTTCCGGACGCCGATTGACCCTGAAAATGCCCCGATTTCGAAGGATCCTTTGGAGGGTTAAATCCCACTCACCTGTACAGCAAATCGGTAAGTGGTTGCTGGTTGCAGGTTCTTCACAGTTGTGCACAGATTGGCCCCGGTAATGATGGGGCTTTTATAGCCTGAGCACGAGAGTTCATCTCCAGAAAGCTCGATCTCCGTTGGATTTGAGTCATCAGCTCTATAGATGAAGGTTGAAGACTTATTTTGGCCATATTTACTAAAATAAGGACCTTACCGAGGGCTATATCTCATCCTGTAAGCAGTTACGACTGCTTTTTCGGGGTACGGTGGCAGCCATGTGAGTTGGATAGCGGTGCTCTTCGTTTGTACTGCGGTAAGTTCCCGTGGAGAGCCGAGTTCAGAACCGGTGGTTCGAATTTCCAGCGGGTCAGACCAAGGCCCTGGTCCTTCAGCAGTGTAAGCTCGAACCTGCAAGCCACAGTGAACGTGCCAGATTGGGCAGCTAGTAGGGGAGAATTCTTACCTTCATTCGGTAGAGTGATCCGGGTTGAAGTTGATCGATGATGGCATTGGTACGGGGCGTTACACCCTCCCGAGTGCCTTCGTTCCATTCGTCCATACCGACCAATTCGAACTCGTACTGGGACACATTACCGTTCTGATGCACACATTCCGGAGCGTCCCATTTGAAGCCTGATCACAAAAAGGTTTATGGCTACCCACGAAGTGCTGAAAAAGAGGGTCAGCTTACCCAGTTCAGTATCTTTGCGAAGGGAAGATTGCAGATTCATTGGCGGTCCGGTGGGCACGTCGTTTTTGGTCTTGAATGTTCGCACAGTCTTCGGGGCAACGATCGACGAATGGAGGGATGGAGGACGACGTGGGGTCACAGTTACCTGAATAGGTCGCCTCTAGAATCACTCAGACGAGAGTGGCAGCTCAAACTTACCTCGTAAACACTTCCCGGAGCAAGTTCCTCCAGTGGGACCTGCTTCTCCTGGATGTTCAACACTGGTGATCGGTTCTTTTGGGGTCCCAGTAGCCTGCTTCGTTACATCCACCGAAAGTTTTCAAACGGTACGAGAATAGTCCACTTCCTCCAGTCTCCATTTTTCGTCCTACAACAATAAAATGCTCATGGTTCTGCCAGATGTGACACAGCGCCTAACACATCACGCTTGTCTGGACGATCCCATGGAGCAAGTGCTTCCGGAGGTCTCGTGCCGGTTCCCACGTGACAGAGCTCTCAGGCAGCGACTGCGTGGTGAGTGAATGGGCCTTTTCAAACTTCCATTTCGTCTGAGGTTTCGCTCCATCTTCGACGGTCTGTGTGCGCATTTTCACTTCCCATCGGGTGCCAGGCATGGTAGAGACCACAAGTTCGGAAGGAGCATCCACAGGTACCTGGAAAATGAACAATACTACCTGCAAAGCTGTGCGGAGAAGCATGAGGCTGAGCAAGAACTCACCGTCCATGAGCCGCGAGATGTCGTGTTTACGTAGTCAATCACAAATTCGACGTCGTCACATCGCCACGAGTCTTCTGATGGTGGCGTCCATAAGATCTGCAAAGATACAGTTCAGCTCTTCTCACAATCGGTCTTGAGTTTCCAGATGCCTCTTCTAGCACAAATTCAAGGAGCACTTAAAGGCAGTGGACACGATGCTGAAGGCGGGGCGGTTTTTGTGACGTCAGTGAGCCTCACTGATGAAAGGGCGTAGGAAACGGTCTCAGGCCATACTGCCAGCACGCTGTAGGGACTGGTACGCCAATGACGCCTAATGACGTCATCAAAACCGCTCTGCCCCCATCGTGTTCGTTGCCTTTAGAGGTCCCATGGACTCACCTTTATGGTCTCGAAATCATCACTCTCAATCCTGACGTTGCTCGGTGGTTCTTCGGGTCGACCACAACTTGTCATCGCTTTCGTTTCGGGACCAGGAGCTCCTCGTTTGTCGTTTTTGCCAACAACCTGAATATTCATCATTTTCCTCTTACATTTTTTCCACCTGAAGAATCTCTTACCTTCAGACGGAAGAAGTAATTCGTGGCCGTTTCAAGCTGTTTGACCATGACTTTGTAGTCGGTGGTGGTACGACGGTGCTTGATCACGCCGTTGTACTCCGCCCAATCGTCATCATCTTCCGATTTGAACTCCAGCACATAGCCAACGACATGGGCAGCCTGGAATTGCACACGGTTAAGATTACGAAGGTCTGGGTGCTATTTGTTCGCCGAAAATCGCCTACCTGGTCTTGTGGGACGCCCTCAAATCTTAGAGTTATCGATTCAGGTTTCGTGTCGATCACCTCAAGCTCTCGCTCCAGAACAGGGATATCTGAAAGTACACCATTGCGCAAGGGCCAATAAATCAATAATTTGATCGAAACAAATAGAAGAGCTTACTCTGCTGTTCAGTCCTGGCATTCAGCGGCTCTGACCACTCTGACCATGCGCCATTCTCGGTATGAGCAGCGACCTAGAAGTGGGGCAACTTAACTTCTAAGCCTTGACCCTGCTTTCTTTGGGTCGATCTAACCTGAATCTCATAGTCCTGCTCAGGGTCGAGGTCATGCACGCGGAAGCATAGGCGATCCCTCTTGGAAGCATCTGAGCACTGGAGACGCTCAGCCTCCACTCGTACTTCTTTGAAGTTCAGCTGAAAAGGTGGGGCTCAAATCGCGTTACGTAAAAGAGTTCCTGAGCGTGAAAAATCCCGTACCTGCCCAGAAGGAGTGTGTCTAATGCGGTAATAGTCGATGTTTCCATGAGGAGGCGTAGGGGCAGCAAACGAAATCTCAAGCGCATGTGGGAATACGCCCTCTTCTTGGAGATCAGAAGGAGCCGGTGGAGCAGCTGGATGTGTAATGAATCGGACCCATTCCGAGTACGGACCCTCGCCGACGGCATTCTGTGCTCGCACGCGAATTCTGAAAATGATGTCTTAAAAATGGACTAAGGGGGGGGGGAGGGTATTAGTCTTCCATACCTGTATTCGTTGTATGGTATCAGGTCATTGAGTGTAAGCCTTTCAGTTGAGTGTTGTGCCGTGGTATTCTCTCCCCAAGGATACAAAACTTTCGGAGCTTCTACTCGTACGCCGGTGATCTTGCGTTGCGCAATTTCGCAGTCGGGCTGCGGACACGTGACGTCAGCCTCTGATTCGACGTCGACCGAACGACACTAAAATAACAAGCACATTGTGGCCCTAAACCAAAACCAGGCCGCAAGATTCAGTCCAAACAGTGCGTACGCGACGTATATTCGGGGCCCGTAGGGCGGCCGCCTCTGTAGTGGACCGTGATACTTTCATTGTGGGCCGCCATGGGAAGGTATGTGCTATACTTACATGAACGCTGCATAGGTGGAGCTCAGCGCAGATCCATCCAACAACCTCGGGAAATTCAACCAGTGCAGCGGTTCTTATTAAGGACAAGGCGCGAAGACGTACCTGAGCTCGCTTCGAACGTGCTCTGAATAGGAGTCGAAGTTCTTGGACCGCATTCGCCCATCGATTTCAGATTGTAGACGGAGGTTAACCGGTCGATCACCCATTTGGAATCAAGTGGAGGTTCAAACTGGCCTCTACTGACGGCGGTCCAATCGGGGAGCTTTTCATGTCCCTCACTGCCTCCAGGAGCACTCAGCTGGGTCAACTCGAGTTCGTTACTCCAACCTGAGGCACCAGCGTCGTTCTCAGTACGAAACGCACTGTCCAGTGGGTGTTCGACGTAGCAATCGAAGATATGTTCGATCGAAGAGCTGAAAGATGCGGGTTAGGCCAGGGAGGCTCCCAAAACAAGAGCGGCTGGCAGTTACCTGGGTAAGTCGACTGGGACGCGGTTTTGGCGTCCGTGAATACTCGAGCTTGTTAGCGAATAATTCGACACAAGCATGAAACACCTCAGTGGAGCTTGCCAGTTGACCCGCCACCTGAATCAAATGAAATCTCGCTACAAAAAAATAACAAGAAGACGAGGATGTACCTGAAGTTGATGCGGGAACGAGCGTTGACGTTTGGGGGCGGAGAGGTTGGGCACGCGGCACAATCCAGTACGTCCCTGCCGGCTCTCTGGCGAGCTCTCCCGACACGACTGCTTGTTGATCCACCACCTTTCAAAATTGACCGCTTTTTAAATAGTACCATCATAACACCTGTTAAACCTCGTGTTTTATAATGCATATTAAGGAGGCAGAACAAGGACCCATAACCTTAATGCGGACGAAGTAGAGGGTGTCAGCGTTCTAGGCGGTCAGTTCTTCAGATGAAGCCCGCTTCACTGGCATCGTTGATGGGTATTCGCGATTTTTGCCAGACCGGCCGGGTGTCGGAGTTTCTGAATAGACCGCATCAGAGAGGGAGCAGGAGAGTTAGGGGAAAAAGGCCTACTGCTGAAATTCCACTCACCTTATTAATTAGTAATCCTGTAACTCGGGTTTGAACATCATCAACTCCTGACCACTGAAAGGTCGAGAGCAGCAAGCGCCGTTGGAGTCTCACCTGAAGAGAACGTCGTCAATCAGGGTCTTGGAGAAGACTATGACCTTTTAACGAACCGTTGGAGCGGTGACAACGATCGGAATTGCGAACGGATCGGTCGAGTAACGGTCCAAATCTCCCTACCGAAACCTCTCTTCGAACCGGCTGCTATCGAGACGTTGTAGGACGTTTCGGGCTTCAGGCCATCGAAGAGATAGGTTAAAGTGGGATGGTCAACGAGGAACGACTTTCGCTGAAATCATCAGTAAATGGCTTCCTCAGCAAGATGGCAAAGAAGGCTTAACTTACTCCTTCGTTAGGATCATCAAGGGAGGCGATGGAGACCTTGTACTGGGTAATGTGGCCCTTAGGGTCAATAGGTGGCACCCATTTGATGTGGAGTGAGTGATCCGTCTTCTCGATCAGATGAATCGCCCGTGGGGTGTCTGGGAGAATTTGGAGCGTGTTGGCAATCACCAACGACGACCATGGTCCATAGCTTCCTAAAGAAAATACCGATTAGGGTGGAGCTCTCATACTACGAATAGTTACCGTACCTCCTTCGATTCGAGTAGCAACCTGTACTTTGTACTGGTTACCAGGTTCGAGCCCAGTCACATTGTAGCAGAAGCTGAAAGTAAAAAATGAGTTTAGGGGCGTAAGACAGGGATAAAAGCAGCTTACCGAGGGCTTTCCGAGGGGCACTGAAGTTCCTCATCGTGCACTCCATGCTGTTTCTCTTCCCATCTGTCCGTACCCAAAAGTTGATAACGGATTTTGTAGGCGTCATGAGGACCATAAGGTGGGTAAGGAGGCAGCCATGAGACCTAAATTTTCTTTTGAGACAACTTTTTGGGGTGGGTAAAGAGGACTACTTACCATGAAGAAGTCGGTGCCTTCCTGAGCGACAACAAGATCCTGTGGTGGAAGCGGCGCGCTAGCCTTTGCGGTCATCACATCAAGATTTTCCGTATTTGGACCTGGAATAGGACCGATAGAATACCCAGGGTAAGTAGAGGAGCTCTCGCTTTTACTGACCTCCACCAATGCTGTTGTAGGCCCTCACACGCATCACGTATTTAGTGAACGGTGTCAAGCCGTCAACGGTTATTCCAGTCTCGGAAGTGTTTGCAATTTGACGCTCCAGTTTTGCCCAGTCATCCTAAAAAGCCCAGAATTTGGACCTGTTGTGTATTTTAGCTGGGAGACAAAATCACTCCCTTACCTGACCAAGTATTTCGTATTCATAGTTGACAATATGTCCGTGGCGCTGCGAGCAGTCTACCGGCTCCCATTGGAAGGAGAGGGATCGCTCGAGGGCCATAGGTTGCAGCTCGCAGTAAGTGGTGGTGATGAGGGCGGTGGGTTAGTTCCGTCGACACCTCTTTCGTTTCCTCGGGACCTAAACTCCTGGTCGCGTGCTCTGACCCGGACTCTGAATCAGGGCGTTTATGCCTTTTTGCTTAAAAATAGCGCCCCAAAAATAGGGTTTCTATGGATTCTTACCCACTTCAATAGAGAGTACGCGTAGGAGTCCTTGTGATCGTGAGTAAATTCTTTGTGATTGAGGAACTGGTAACGACAATCACGTGACACATCTCGTGGATCCTTCTTTCGGACAAGCAAGACGATGTTTCAGTCTGAATTTGGAAGTACTGAGATCCTGTAAAGGAGTTCAGAAAAAGAGTACAACCTGCTGAGCTGATTGTTCGTACCGAACGATAGTGCCTCTTTTGAACGAGTGGTGCAAGCCACGTGAGTTTACATGGACTTCATTTGGAGACAGGGCCTGGCACCCTGCAGGCTCACCGCACGGCTCCCGAAGCTCCCTGACGGGTGGTTGACAGTCTGTTTCAAGTGACAGTCGACTGAAACATTATCTTAAAGATGAGTCCAACCTTCATCAAAAACGTTTGCTCCCTGGAGATCCAACTTGAGTTGCTGTAGCCGAAGTTTGATTACCAACGTTGATTGGGTTCAGCTGGGAACGTGTACTCGAGTCTGCTCTCCTGGCACGGGGCCAGTAATCTGAAAGGGGATGAGTTTAGAGGAACTAAGCTTGAACTTTCAGAGAAATAACCTTCTCAGCGTTCGCTTTCCAACCGATAGCTGAATCTCGACATTTCATCTGGTCGCACTCCAGGTATCCTTTGCTGGACGAGCCACGACGGAACACGCGACATCATTGGGGGCGAAGGGCATCCACTCGAATTCTGCATATGAGAACTCTCTAGGCCGCCTGGAGAGCGTGGGAATGTAGGGAATCCCTGGGGTGGATTTGGAGGGGGACTGCATTTGGTACTGGGCGCCGAACTCTCCCGGTTGACTGATTCGACTGCTCGTTCGTGCATAGAGAAAACGCGAACACGAGATCGCATGACATTGTTGGTAGGCAAATTTGTCAACAGTGGCGGGTATGTGGTCGGCGTGCCGCGCACTGATGAAGGAATAGACGAGGATGCTGCTGCCAGGCTCTTCCCTCAAAGCCTGCAAAAACTTCCGAGATAACGAAAACGTTTACCAAATCCGAAAAAAAGGCCCTTTTTGGGGTAAACGCACGTATGATTCGACGCTGAATGAACCAGCTTCGATTTCTTGCGTCCACCGATTGTCACGAAGTAGCCTCTCAGCGACCTTACTTTCGTGGAGCCACTGCCAGCGCTGTAGCGCGGCAGCCATCCGTCACATAGTCAACTGAGGTACCTGGAAGACCATACTAGCTACGAGTCTTGGAGGTGAATAGGTAGAGAGGCGCCATCGAACTTACCCCGCCAGAGCTCTTTGTTGGTGGCTGCTGTACGGAACATTGTATTGGGGCGGGAGGACGGAGGTTGTCGATCTCTATAATACTAATCATTTTTCTTGATCAGATCACTAGTAGTAGACGAAAATAAACAACTGTATAACAAAAACAACGATTTTTTCAACCCTAAATTATTGTAATTTTTAATTCAAAACAAGTGAGCTTCATTTAAAATAATAAATAATATGAGTTCTGCCCTTTCACTTGTAGCATTTTCCCTCAAAAAGGCCGCCTTAACGGAAATGGATGTAATAGCGTCAGAGAGGCGGATCGGTTTCGATGGCGGTCATTTGCTGTGAATTGGTGAAGGGACGCTAGGGTACGGTCACGACTCACTATCCGAATTCCTTCACCAACCACGGTTCGAATGACGGTCATCGAACAACGCCCCGCCTCTCAGTCATTCGCATCAGTGCTGAAAGTGGAAAGGCTAGAACATCTTGGAGTAATATAGTCAGTTCCAGTTCGGCTGGAGACTAATTTTATACTTGGCGGCTACGATGTAGACAAATCATTGAATGTGACGTAGCAAAGTTGGCCAGTTGCTTCCCTCCCTTCCCTTCCCTAGGACAAAAAATTATCGAATATGTACCAAAAAAAACGCACCTTCTACTGATAGGTATTACGATCGACGTTGAAGTCTGCGCTCGAGATTGACCATCCACGGGTTCGGATATGAACGACGGAATGACGTCACCCGCATTACGATCTCCGGACGAACTGTCACGAAAAAACCGTCAATGAGCTTTCAGTACCTTCCAATCTGAACCAAGTGGGTACGTTCTTGCTAAAACATGCTCGAGTGAAAATGACCTTGTGCAGGAAAAAATGCATGTGATCCACAACTCAGCTTGTCCCTACCTCCTCTAGATCAGAGAAGCCACCAGCGTTGGGCAAATTTCAGAAGGGCTACCTGTTCTGGGGGGGGGGGTTCATTACAACTCCCTCTCCTTAGGACTTCACTGAAGTCTTTAGCCTTTGTAATTCAAACTTAAGCTCACCGTCAACGCTCGAAATCCCGGACAAGACTGGGAATGCGGTGGGGCGGGGGGGAAGTGCCACCAAAAAAACGGTAACCTGATTTCATGAGCTTTGGGGCTTCTTTAGATTCGCGAATAACAGTGATCTCGAAAAATCCTTCCAAAAATGTGCAAGGCTCTTGTTATACTAGAGATTAGAACCCCGCAAGAAATCAACAAATCCAATTACAAAAACACCCTTCAATTCCAATACCTAACCTGTCCAGACATACCTTGTCGATGGTGAGGGAATCTGCACAGCTCAGCGGTGACTTTGCGTTGTTCGGGTTGCCCATGTGGTGACCATCGCGATCAGTTTACAGTGAGACCACCCTGAACAGTTTGCAGTTGGCTGCTACTCTTTCTCTACTCTCTAGATAGCCCATTGGGATCATTTTCTACCTGAAATTCGTAGGTCTGCTTCGGGCTTGCAAATTGTCGAATTCGTCAGCAATGGCATTTTTGGTGCCCGGCGGTGGGCGTTGGCAACTGGACTCTCCAGGATCTCGCTTTGCATGACTGCCAGCTGGGAATTGGCAGCGTTCCCTAAAGGTCTTAATGAGTGGGCACAGTAAAACTCGCTAAAAACGCCGCTGTTTTCGTACGGGTGTATTTTTGCGTACCGGCGGCCGCATACCTGCACTTGTAACTTATGTTCAACGTAACCGCTCTGGGGGGGGCGATTGCCAACACACAGTGCGGCGTGGTCGCTCCCGATGTTGATGACTTTCCAAACGGTGGCGGCCTTAACTTGATACAAATTGGAGAGCTGATAGAGCATTTCTGAGAACATCCTGTACAGTGGAACAGTCTGAGTAGCAGCAGCTCGGAAAGCCAACATCTTCGCTGGGCACGTTACACGGAGACCGCGACTCTGTAGTACGCTTCGAACTGGAATTTACATAACCCTTTTGCCCGAGGCTGACTAGCCCAACGTCGAGGGTTCAAGATTCAAATCGACCCTTGTATGTTATATCTTGAGTGAACCGGCTGAAGACCGGTGATTTGAGCTACTAGTTCCCCGACGTTGTGTTGGCGATTCTCTGAGGAGCAGCCCGTCTATCCGACAGGTAGTTACTTCGATATTCATACTCTGTATCTCGCCATCTGTCGTCTGCAATCACGACCTTTTACACTCTGTTTACCACGGCAGGAGAAAAAAGCAACTCACTGTAGACAGCGGTGGGGCTGCCAGCTCGCGCTGCGTCGTCGTCTCTACTCCTCGACTCTCAGATTACCACCGGTCCAGATGGCACTGAACTGTTCGGTTTGCAACTCCTGTGAGACCCGCCTCACCGGCGATGGTTGTTTCGCTGCTACGCAACTGCATAGGTAACGTGAGGATGGCGTCAGATGATTGGCAGCGGGTGAGGTGACCTTACCGGTAGCGCGAATGGTGATGGGGCCCAGTGATGACGTGGTTGGGCCCGAAGCTGACGAAAGAGCGTTCGAGGCGCATCGCTTGCTAGTTCCGGTCGCACATCCCTGACCCGACGTAAGGTTTTACGGATCGGCACAAGTTCTCTGATTTCCTGATGGATCGTCTTGACCACTTCACTTGCTTAATCAGCTGATAGTGACTTCATATCAGTTGATGAGACCATTTTGGATGATTGGAGGTCTCCAGCTGGCTTGGAACCGATCCGGCTCAACTTGGCTGCACTCGCAAGTCGCGACTGGGCCAGGGGAAGCGTCCTAGAAAAGCCGCTTGGGATTGTGGAACATTTTTAGTCGAGGGGCCAACTAACCTGAGTCTGAGCCGTTTCGGGGCGAGGACACTGATTTCTCAGCCGGCGTCTAGCCGCCTGGACTTCACAAGCTTCCAGCTGCAAAGATTGTCCGGTTGAGCATGACGAGTGCTGGTATAGCCGCTTAGCACAAAATCCTACTTTGGTGTAAGGATCGATTCGAAATACAATGAATTCTCGCCTGAGTAAGATTTTGAAACCTTTTCTTTCGGCCGTACTGTATTGACAATGTACCACATGCGACGCAGTTCCATTCTGACTCGTGCATGGAGCCCAAGTGAGCCTGATTTTGGGTCGGCGTCCGTGGGCTGAACCTAGAAGATGGATTTTAAGTTGGACAGATCACTGGCTGATCAAATGTATAGTGGGTTCACCTGAAGCGTTGGTGGGAGGGATCTCTGGGAGGTTGTGCAAGCGTGATGGTCTGCCACCTGCAACAATCGGCGATGTGAACGCCGACGTTGCGTTCCTGTCCTTGACGACACGCGGACCTGAACTTAGACAATGAAGGGGAGCTCACTTAAAAAGGAGGAAGGGGCGGGAAGAAAATTAACAGAAGAGCGTGTCAACTTTGATAGAGGTGTGCCCTTGTGGGAAGTTTCACAAGATCGATGGTGTACGGTCGCTGCCATCAGAAAACGGCGGTATCTAACGTTTGTTTTGAGTTGGCAGACAGGCCACAAATCATAGCGTACACATACACTTTAGTATTAATGCCATTCTGAGCAATATTCCTGTTATTGGTATAAGTTATGTTCGCCAATCGCGACGTAGCACATATTCACGGCTAACATAGCACCGAAACATTACGTAACTTGTGCCTCAAGTACACTATAGGTCGAGGGATTCCTCAACGGCTTGGACGGATTTTGTCGGATTGATTTGCTTGATCTCCCGCTCCGACATTCACCACTAGCCATGCCAAGAGCCGGTCTGTGCTCTCCGCGCCCGCGTTCACTCTCGCAGGTACTCTCCCACAGTACGAAGCCATTGGCTGAGGATTTCCTCGACTTATTCACCTCCGAGTTGCGGCTGGATGCATGTCACTGGCATGTTTTGGTCTGCGTTGGCTGTCTGCGTCTCGCTCGAACCTTACTGTTTCTCATCTTTAGGTTAGTCAGTTCGCGCGTCGCGCGAGTTTATTTTAAACTGCTTGATCCTAATGGATCTCGGTTGACTAGTGAACCATTCTAAAGAAAGAGGTCGTGGTTTACTTTATTTTGCGAGAGAAAAATGGACACACGTAAATATTGTGCGCGTGAATAACAGCCTATAGAATGGGCGCTTGCATTTGTTGAAGCTTGCTGTTAGCTCTATAGCACATAAACTCAATCTTTCAGAATTCCCTGCTTCTCGCTTGCTCTCGCTCACCTGCCATAGCCGTTCATGATCAAACTGCCTTGCGCGCGAGTGCTTCTTCAATGCGAAAGTGGTCGTGGAGAAGTACTCCCCCTCGCCTCCTGGAGGCCCTATGCCTATTGGCTCACGGTTTCCTCTTTGCCAACTGTTAGATTGGAAGGTGGGTCGTGAGCGTCTGGCAGTCTGCGCGTTTACGCCTCCCACGACAGAGAAAGGAGGAAGGTCTGGTCAAAGTAACCAGCTTATTGTGGGGCTAGCGTACCACTATTCAGAAAATGAGAGAGACGTCGAATTGCACATCACACACCACAAGGTGACGACCGCCCAAGAAACAGAGTGAGTTTTTTCTTTTCGTTTTTCTTGGACGTCGGTAACTTGTTGAGTGTGGGTCCGCACTCGCGACGCTCTTCTCGTTTTTCCGAAAAGGGATTAAGGGCATAGCCTAATATTGCATAGCATAATTAATTCGAGTTTTCACATGTTAACCAAATTGGCTGATTGATCAGCAAGTATATTCACTTACGGGATTTTCTGTGGGCTGTCTCAATCCCTATTCGATGGTTGTTTTCATTCCCGGACAAACACTCTCAATTGATCATCGACGTTTTCTCTCGTTTGCCAATGTCGAGAATCGGGATTCCCCTGCCTGAAAGACGAACATCTGCTTGAACCATTTGTAGGTGCTTGTATTTTCAGAGAGCTTTCCCCACACAAGAATAGAGTCTCAGAACTCACCGAAAGCGATATTTGGCCGACAAATTAGTTCGGCCTCGGGAGAGTTGCACTTCTACGGAAGGAGTCCCAAGCCTGAATGTCCAGCCTTGAGTTCCGCAGGCTATCGGAATTCGTTTAGCTGACCCTTAAAGAACGAATCTAGATGTATCAAGGTGCTAAGCGAATGAGTTATGAACTAACCATTGTTGATTAGGATGACTCGGGGAAGATGTGGTTTGGTCTGGCGTTCCGGGTACACTTCACTGCGGTATTTTTGTGGTTCAACACACTGCGAACGTCTTATTCAATTTATTCTCAAATATCCAAAAAACTAATGAATACATGGATTATCGGGTTTGAATATCGGCACAGCCCCATGTGCTCTGAGGAGGAAGAGGCCCAGTGCACTCGCACGTGGGAAGCAGTCGAGTTCTTGCACTTGAAGGTGTGACGGAGGGTGTGAGGGAGACTGATGGTTGCAGTTTGGTGACAGTTCGACGGGCCTATGAACAACGATTTCGGGTGGGGGGGGTGACATACCTGTGCCAAACTGCTGCTCGTGCAGACGCTTTGGCTCACATTACATCACGTAAGAATTCCTTCGAGGACGTGCCAAACGAGATCTTCATGAGCCTCAATGAGACCATCTGGGAGAACCCTACCGTGATGTGATTACGGGTAGGGTGACCCGTATTTGAAAGACCAAGTGCAGCGTTTGGGAGTAGTCCTGGTTGTCGCCACGTACAGGACCAATGGGTGACTGAAATGAGGCAATTTAGCCCGAGGACATTGCAAGGGCAACAAGGCGGAGGCGTACCCATAAGGATTCCATCAGAGCCTTTCGCTACGGAACGTGCAGACGGTAGCCGAACCACGCCACGTCCGGTCGCCTTCGCTTCTCCATTTGGACATTTGAAGGTCATTTCACGAGCTTCACTCTTGGGTCCGAGACGGGGCCGAGACGAGCGCTAGAATAGGTCCCGGTCAGTGGAGTGTCGTACGAATCGCCCGAATGCACTCCATGCGAATGTTAGTATGAACAGCATTCCACAGCAGCATTTGTTATGGAAATGAAGATCTAGGAGAGAGTAGTCTAGGGAGATAGGGAGGAGCTCTAACAGGGTACGATAGGAGCCGAAGTCACGCATAAAGGCACAGCGCTGTTCGGCTGTTGTTGCTACTAGTGTGGCACGCTACCTCCTCCGACTTCTAAGTACTGATAGGCTGATGATTGTTGTGAATCCGAACGACACCAAAAATCCGTGCGAGGGTCGCAAACACTGCGACGATGACGCTGATGCTTACGGACTAAACATCAGAAGCTCTATGAGAGATTTAGATCAGTTCAAATGCAATTCCCGCACCCAAAAAATTGGGGCGATCAAAAGTGAATTTAGATTCGGCAGAAGTCGGCCTCTACTAATGAAATGTATTGTACAAAGTTCGCAAGGACGAGGGATCTAACAGCTTCAGAAGCCGCCACAAGAAAGAGATTGGAATCCTGCCAGGTGAAAAATGGCCATAACCCTGCGCTCACCACCAACGTGGGTTTTTTTGGTTGTGGGCCCACTAGGGCCTTACTCAATAAACGGCTTTAAGGGCAGTGAACGCTATGGCTTGACGGCACTCCGGTTTGATGACGTCTTCAACGTCATCAGAGAAATAGTGTTCATTTTTCCTGAGCGGCTCTGGGAATGGCAAAAAGAAGTGAGAAAGTGCTTTAATTCAAGGTTACGAATCTTCCTGAGTTTATCGGCTCCTCATCTTTCCGTTTTAGGTTGAGCTCGAATTTTCGTACAAAAATCTTTTGATACGCGAGCGAAACCTAATGCTACAAATGACATCCAAAACATTAACTTATTGCGGACCGCCCGTTGCGCGAGTATCTCTGTACCTCTTTTTTTTGTTTTTTGAAAGTGAATCATCATTAATCCTTAACGAATCTTATCAGTGATAATGCGACTGTTTTCCGGATCCGAAAATTAATACAAACTCTTCAGGAGCACTGAGAAATGCCGAATAGATAAGGTGAAACTTTGTTTTTTCGCTTGAAATCGTGCTCCACATGGCGAGACCCATCTGATAGGCCGCCGCCTTGTGAACTAACAGCGCTCCGCTTCAGCGTTACAGAGTCGCGTACATAAGAACGAGGCTCTTCTCATGACCGAGTCTACCGTTGTCTCGCAGAACTTCCGGTTGTCCGCAGGTCTCGTCGATCGGGCGAACTTCTGCTACGCCTTTTCGAAACCTCTTCTTCGGCGTACACTACATCAGCCGAGTACTGCGCTCACTAGTCTTACGCAGCTACGGCTATCACTAAGTCTTGCGGTTTTAGGTATCGTATAAATCTGGACCAACGGAGTTGTTCATGATCCCGGAAGCCGATTCATTTCTCACTTTATGCGTCTAGGTATTACTAACACTAGCACGTTTACAACTTTACTGCATCCTATCTATGTGCTATTTTGCCTTGAAAATGGAATTAATGTGTGGAAGCGGACCACCGGAGGGCCAAAAAGCAAAAAGGAACCATCCAAAAGCCCACAAAATAAAAGCTCCTCTGCGGTGAAAGAAGAGAAATTTTGGCTCAGGAGTGAGAGAGACAAGAGAGTCATAGCCGGCAAGCCGAGACGCAGACATCCGCTGGTGTAGGACTATTGTGTTTCTGACATCAAACACAGCGGGAGAGACGCCGGCTCTTCGATCGCGCGTTTCCAGCCGCCAAAGATAAGAAAACTACACATTTATGAGACGTTCCACCCTCACTCATAGAGCGGATTTGGTTCATTCTAGTTCAATTGTAGAGTGTGCTTGAACAGTACAGATAAATGTGTCGTCTCGGCAGCTAGAACGAGCGCAACAAAAGAGCAGAGTCTCCCAGGTGTGTTAAAGCCAAAACACTTCGGCATACACATCGGGCCCTGTCCGCGTCTCGCTTGCCCCCTATGTCTTAATTTCCAGGCGACCTGTGAGGCGTCGCCGAAGGTTGGGCGATGCTCTTTTGCAACACTGGCATGACTTCGGTGCTTCTTGGAGTAATGTAGCTAGAGACGGGCGAGTTGAGTTTCGATGCCTTGAACTTGTCATGTCGTTCGCGGTCACTTTCTGCCTTCCAGTTTATAATTTACTCACCTTAGATTTCTCAGCTGCAGCTGGAAAGTCACATAATTTCAATAACAGCTCATCAGTATTAACATTGTTATTAAGAGCACCGGCCGGCAAAACAGCCGGAATAAGGAGTAGGATGGTAGGAGCAGTTTCCCCTAGGACCGTTCAACGTAGTTCATATTTGGGTGTGAAGGTGTAGAAAGACCTGTGGCAGGCCAAAGATTTGGTTTAGAACCTAGGTAGTTAGAGCCTTCATGATCCTTTGTCAACCCCAGCTAAAGGTTGTCTTTTTCTTGGCGAACTCTTTCCTTGACAGCTTTCTTGCTGTTCTGCTGATTCTGTCCTGCGTCGAGGCTTGTTCCCACTGGCGTGTTGTTTGTGCATGAACTAAAATTCCGTTAGCAAATAATAGGTATTTGTCGTTTTATTTTTTTAGAAGGGACCTGGTTGCTGAACCCCTTTGTCACACCCATGCCGCTCAGTACGCTCATAATCATCATATTTTCAGCCGGAGTGAGCAACGCGTCCCTACAATGCGGCCTCACCCAGCCACGTATCGATGCAATCAAGGACCCAGGAACGGTTTACTTGGGTTCAACCACAGGAGACGCCTTCACGGACTCCTTGGGCTATCAGGTACAAGTCGGAAGCCCGCCGCCCAATCCTGGGGCAAAAGACCGAGCCTTGAGTTTCAGTTGTATATCGAAGGGACGGACGATCGAGAATGGCAGCGACCATGGCGCCATGGTCCCTGACGGAACCATCGCAGACGCATTTCCGCAGGTCACTGCCCCGTACCAGTTGCAACCTATTACCTAAGGGTGAGAGCCGGAGCGACGCTAGCGGCGCGTTACAGTAGCACTTCACCCAGCACCGAGCTTCTCTGTCTCCTGTCAAAGTAAGTGAATCGTTGAAGGTTCCTGAGACAGGGGCGGCGCCCTCGATCCTTCCACTCCAGGTCCGGGAATCTCCCCGAGAACGTTGCGCTCTGCGACAGAGTGTCAGAGGACCGGTACGCGATCTCGTGGAACATCCCTAGTGAAGATCCAGCTTGCAGCACATTTTCTTCATCAGTTGGCATGCAGCGTTACGTTGCAAGGGCTTCATGAAGCCCAAGCCTCCATTAACTCAAAGTTGTTTCATGAATGGCTTCCAGTGAGTCACTCGAGCTGCCCTGCCAGGTGAACGCACGCTATGACATGACAGCCCGCGCGAGGCGCATTGGCGTCGTTGAGTGAGCAAAACGAGGCTATTTCTATCCGGATCGCATTTCGAATCTAATTCTTCCCCCTAATAGGTACGGGCGCTGAATTCGGCAGATCAGGACCAGCTTCACAGCAACGGTTTTCCCAGTGCGCAACAATGATGAGTCTTTCTTATCGTTTTAGATTGGATAGGAGCCCACTAGACTTTAACGCCCCAATCTTTGAAACAGACTTGAAAGGACGATGCCGCATTTCCAAAGCCCTTCCTGTAGTGATAAAAAATTGCGCAGCTTATAACATTTTACGAAAAAAAACGTTAGCGCTAACATTGTAGTCGTGTGTTACTTAAGCAGTGATTATTGATTAACTGCGAGCGCGGTGCGGTTGTGATGAACGTCATTGGACCTAGGTGCGCTCTGGGGGCGTTTTTTTGCCCTTTTAAGCAGGTGAGGTTAAACGATATTATCCAAAACCACGCCCATCTCTAGCCATTGTGATCGCTGCGTGATAGATTGGTATTAGTTACGTTATGCAGTTGGGTGGCGTCATAATAAACGTCGCGTTTTTTCATCGAGCTACAATCAGTCGAATTCAGTACTACAAGGAAATCCAGTTATATCGTTGTGGAAAGTACTTCTGGCCCCTCTACAAAAACACTGTTTGTTATTTCTTCTATACTGTAAATGTACTCAGATATGATGCTAGAAAGTGGGAATTCAGGTGGGGCGAATTCCATATAAAGAAAAAGCTGCAAAATGGAGTTTTCGGGATTCTATCGTCATCATCGGAAGCTTACTCTCGCATCGAAGCTCAATCACATATGATATTTACAATCGGTAAAATGAGAATCATGAAGGGCCTCTGAACGGGCTCAGTACCTTTTTAAATTCTGCGACCCGGTAATCTTTTTCGCGAATTGGAATCAAGTCCATATATAATGACGGAGAAGAACACATGATTAGTTTATGCTGGCGTGCTTTTGGCGTTCTTGCTTTGACGTTTTTACGAATGTGACGCTACGATATTACGCCACCAACCAATAGTTGTGAAATCACAAAAATAACTCGAGGCAGCCCCCAGGGTACAAGGTGAGTACTGGCCGAAGAGATATGTCAGATCATCTTAGGGAAGTTATCTCTCGATTTGCTTTTGCATAATAGGAACCACGAAATTAGAAGTCCACTTCCGCAATTAGTGCATCGAAGCATCTCCTCCTGTTATCTTCGCACATGTACCACAAGTTAAACGGTTCTTTTCCCAAACGACTCCACCAGCAAAAATAAGGCGAAAATAATGATGGAACAAGGAACTTTAACACTTACGCTACA